TAGTATAGATGGGTGGCGCATTTACGTTGTAGATGTCTATGGGCTCCAGTAACCACTTAACACCAGGTGGGCTGTGAGCTCGTACATCCATCTAAGCAATAAAAAAAAGTAGGTACGGCATATCTATTGCCGGTACACACTGATTTCGAAAATGAATTAAAAAGTTATCGTGAGGCGGAGGATGATCCAAAACGTAACTCCGCGGTGCATTCAGAAAACTTTCCAACGATTGTCTGTGCTCAAGACGGTGGATAGAGCCCGCGTAGTGATGTCAGACGTGTAGATGATAATTTTATCGATATCTTTTGTGATAGTCCCAAATTTGGTTTTGTCTCCGCAGTTGTTTGTACGTGTTTCAGTTATTTTTTCATTTTGGGGGGTAGAAGGGGCAAAAGGATTAAGAGTGAGCTTTTAAAAATCGTGATTCGAATGAACGCACCACACGAATTTAGCCTCGGAGCCATCTCAATTATATTTGAATGTGTATGTGGTAGTCGCTGGTGAGGTGGCCCACCACGCCCGGCGAGTTAATCCCAGCTAAGCCGCCAGGTGCACAGTAGTTACGTTCGACACGATGCTAACATCCGCTACGGATACGCAACTATCATTTTAGTCAGTTGCATATAGCATACGATCCACCAGATTGTGAGTGGTTACCGTCGCCCATGGACGTCAGCAGGTCGAGCCAAGCCGCTGCCTACTGTTAAGTACTCTCCACAAGCCTCGTTTCAAGAAGGATATGTACAGAAAATAGGACACTACAGCTGCTCTTGTTTTCGAGAAAGCTTTAAACGCACCCCATGTGCAAGTTATTTTTTTTTTTATTTATTACTTAGATGGGTGGACGAGCTCACAGCCCACCTGGTGTTAAGTGGTTACTGGAGCCCATAGACATCTTCGACGTAAATGCGCCACCCACCTTGAAATAACAGTTCTAAAGTCTCAGTATAGTTACAACGGCTGCCCCGCCCTTCAAACCGAAACGCATAACTGCGTCACGGCAGAAATAGGCAGGGTGGTGGTACCTACCTGCACGGACTCACAAGAGGTCCTACCACCAGTAATTACGCAAATTATAATTTTGCGGGTTTGATTTTTATTGCACGATGTTATTCCTTCACCGCGGAAGTCAACCGTGAACATTTGTTGAGTACGTATTTCATTAGAAGCATTGGTACCCGCCTGGGATTCGAACACCGGTGCATCGCTCAATACGAATGCACCGGACGTCTCTATCCTTTAGGCCATGACGACTTCAAAAATGATAATAAATAAATAAAACATTACTGTTGTATGTACCGGTAAGATTTTAAGATATAGATAAGTCGAGACAGGAAATACGATTTATAGATTACAATTCCGCATCACTAGAAGAAACCTAACGCGCCCATTAGGATGTGAGGCGCGTACCGCCAAACACGCTCCGAGCCCGGGATCTGAATATTTACAGTACAGATGCTGTACACGAGATGAAAAGATTTCTACCAATATGAATTGGGTATTTGTTGGTTATAGAATATATTTGTTGTCGGTTCTGGCAAATACAAGCGAGGAAGGCTAATTCTTTGGCAGATGTGTGGTGAAGGTCTATAAAGCTAGTAACTAGTGATGCCCAAATTATTAGGATCCTTCGAGGACAGTATGAGTATCCCGGGGAAGACTAATTTGTGTGACAAGGTCATTAATAATCTAAATTGTGCTCGCGAACTACTTTGGCAGTGAAGGAATGACGTCATGGAAGCTGCAGCTGCTGTATAAGTACTGGTGGCACGGCGAGGATGCGTATTGTGTTGCTGTTTCAATTGGTATTGGAACTGCAACACAATTTATGTTGATGTAAGCTCGAAACTGTTGATTGGAGAGAGTTAGCGCGAGACGGTCTCAGCGGACTGTTTCGTCTGGAAGAGATGGATGATCGTACTCCTCGATCCAGGCTGGTTCTGCGCCACCTCATTCTGTATCCCGGGGTACGAGTTGGTGGAACCATCTGACCGATAGGACCAGTGAATGTGGCGTCGCCGAGCGTCTGTTTTCTTTTCCCGTGGGTGTCAGGCACACCACGCTGCACGTCAGCTTGCCTTGTGCGTGGTCTGTCGGTCCCGAGGTTCGGAAGCGGGTTATTGAGCTACAAGAGTTAAAGTCCGACATCCCCCGGCAACCGTCGACTGCGTAGGCGGAAGCCCTCAATTTCCTCTTGACTCGATAACTTTAATTAACCTTTGGTGAACTTTATCACCGGTAACTTTATCGATCGGTACCAAACAAGCGTAAACCGTTATAGCAATTAAGAGTTTCACTTCAACCACGAAGGATGTTTTTTCAAAATTTCGAACAATCTCTGTCTGAGAAATTCGTTTGTCTCGAATTCCCTAAAACGCAATGAAGATTAGCAGTAAAATGTCGAACACAACATTTCGTCCGTACACAATGATTGCGAAAAAAATGTTTTCCCCAAAATAATAGAATCGAGGCGCGAACATAATTATTCCCGAACGATTTACCCGGAATATAAGGAAAAACGTTTGCTAAGCAGAATTCCTTCGCGTTTCCCGCCTCTGTACCAGCCGGGCACTCTACACACTCCGGTCGAGCTGTATTGGGGTATCTTAATAATTACCAAGCACGTAATCCTAACTGATAATTGTATTACTTATTTGATAGTTTCACATCTAAATTATAGATTATGTTAAGTAGATAGTTCAAGAGAACAAAGCTTGGCTAGCTGAATAGATGGCGCTGTGTGCCTCCACCGTAGGGACGATGAAATAGATAGGTTTTTTTTGAAACCACTTTACGAAACTTATTTATTTATTTTTAATATTCAGAGTACTTAGATATTTTTGATAATGAAATGAAAATCGTTAGTGACTTAAAGAAAGTTTTTCTTTTCAATGGCTTAGACTAGTGGACGAGTGCACGGCCCACCTGGTGTTAAGTGGTCACCGGAGCCCCACCCTTCAAACCGAAACGCATTACTGCTTCAAGGTAGGAATAGGCAGGACGGTGGTAACTATGCCGACTCGTAAGACGTTCTACCACCAGTGAGTAAAGTGGACTAATGGTCTCAAAACAATTTAACCTGTGATATAACATAGTACTCCTTACATCAATGTCACTAAAAAAATGCGGTTTGAATATAAATAGACGTCGTCGAATTGTATTGTATAAAGGCCACCACACCCTCCGCAGCAGGACGAAGCCCACTGAGTTTCTCGCCGGATTTTCTCAGTGGGTCGTGTTTCCGATCCGGTGGTAGATTCTGCAAAGCACTGCTCTTGCTAGTGTTAGCTAGTGTTAGCAACACTCCGGTTTGAGCCCCGTGAGCTTACCTACATGTTATATTAGGGCGAAGCTGAAATTGCCTCTCAAGCCTATCAGCATAGGTAGGTAGAAAAATAAAGCAGCAGGACGACACTGGTGCAGACCTGTCTGCAGCGGGGCTCCATCGGGCGGTGACGACACTTGCAGAACAACTCTTGAGAGTCGACTCCGACATTAGGACCGGCCCAGAGGTCTTCCACTCGCGCACCTAATGTGAAAATAAACAAAATTATTAAATACTCTTATCATGATCTCTCCCCAAGGCCCGGCCGCTAGGAGCTGGCAATAAAAACGGATATTAAAAGCCGGAGCGCCCGCAGAACGCATTCGTCACAAGTGTTGCCAGTAAATTGATATAAAATATCCCCGGCTCGCTTATTTACTCTGTGCAGTGTACTTTAATTTATTTAATATTGCTTTTTAAAGTCCCTTCTGTCTTTTCTATACTTTATACGACACGAACACCAGATCCACATTATACCACACTACCGTAACACTTTAATCGTGAGTTTATTATTTTCATATTATCACTACCCGCGTTTTGAATATTTTACAGTATTTGTATTCACAGATAACTAAGGTATTAATTTTCGATATTTGCAGACAGACGAGCATACGGGTCAATTTATAGTAATTAGTTACCATCGCTTAAGGTCGTCAGTAATGCGAAATTAACTATAAATGACTACGGTCAAATTAATATAAAAACCTTTATTGACATTTACGTTCCTTTGGACGCAGATAGAGCAGCTCCGGGACTGCGGAGGGTAGAAGTAAGGAGCAAGTTTCTTGCGCGTTAGGAGTCCGACGGTGAACCACCAAGTATAGTGGCGCCACGGTAGCAAGTGGTGTCATTACAGACATAACGACTAGTTAGTACAAGGGCTACATTCACATCACACCGCTTGCTGCGTCGGCGTTGTCTTCCTGGGTCTTTGACTTGTAGTTTGCTACTCATAGCTGGACGCATTGTCAACTTTCCCCCGTATAAAATAGTTCGGCTTACCTCTACCTACTAGACTAAACGTACGTGTCGATGTCACTGGAATAGACAATGTTTTGTCTTTTTTTTTTTTTTGGCTTAGATGGGTGGACGAGCTCACAGCCCACCTGGTGTTAAGTGGTTATTGGAGCCCATAGACATCTACAACGTAAATGCGCCACCTACCTTGAAATATAGTTCTAAGGTCTCAGTATAGTTACAACGGCTACCCCACACCCTTCAAACCGAAACGCACTGCTGCTTCACGGTAGAAATAAGTGGGGCGGTGGTACCTACCCGTACGGACTCATAAGAGGTCCTACCGCCAGTGTTGTGTTGCGAGTCTGTTTCAGCGTTTCTATTTGAGGGTATTTACACTAAGACCTTAGAACTTATATCTCAAGATGGGTGGCGGCGCATTTACGTCGTAGATGTCTATGGGTTCCAGTAACCACCTAACACAAGGGCGGCTGTGAGCTCATCCACCCATTTAAGCAAAAGGAAAAACGGTAGTGTAGACTTTAGTTTCTAAAGTAATGACCTAAAGTCTGTCAGACAGCGGCTTGGTTCCGGAGTCCCTCGCCGCTCCCGCCAAAACGCCAGTAAAAGTTTATTTAGACAAAGGGATCGGTGGCGTACAGCCTGCGTTAACGTATCCTTTGAAGTTTGTTAATAGTAACTTGATGTGTGTTTGTAGATGCGGTGCGTGAGGGCGTGCTAGCGGGATGCAGGGCGGTGGAGCGCCCGCCCCAGACGCCGACCAGGCACAGTTCGAAGCGGACAAACGCGCCGTCTACAAGTAAATACAGTTCCTTATTCCTCCGGCGCTATCATCTGTAGCAGCGTCTCGTATGTGAAACCGGAAGCTCTTACCCCCTGGCCACAACCCAGAGAGGCGTGCGCGGCGGTGCCGGTGGACCATTGCGGCATCGCGCAGACCGAAATAAATCATTTTGTTTTTATCGCGTGTTGAGCCAATAAATAATGGATATGGAACAATTCATTAGTGAAATACTGCGTAGACTAGCGATGTGGATGACAAAACATCATTAGTATAAAAACCTTATAAAAAGGTTGCGGGAAGAAAGTAAACAACGTATTAAAAATTCGCCAATTAAATACCGATCTTTAATTAGTTCGTGCACTCCTTCTCTCATATTAAGAATATCTTGTTTTAAAAATGTACTGCTTTCTAACCAGAGAAGAGATACTTTTGATAACGCCATGATTTTGAACACGTTTTGACTACCTAAATGCGTCCACCGTGGCCGTTGCAACTAACCGCTATTGAGAGTACGTGGCGTGCAAAACACACCGCTCACTGACGCCGCGCCGCAATCCGCATCGCTCTTGGCCGTGGCCAGGGGGTTACACTCGTCTCGATGTCGCGATGTAATGCAGTGTGGAGACATCCCTTACTTACTGTACTTGAGTGAGAGACCGTGTTTATTTAGTAACTGGTATGCTGGATGAATATACTGTAGGCAGCGGCTCGGCTCTGCCCCTGGCATTGCTAAGGTCCACGGGCGACGGTAACCACTCACCATCAGGTGGGCCGTATGCTCGTCTGCCAACGAGGGCTTTAAAAAAATATAGGAATACGACTTTTTAACTTTCCATCTTTTCATATGCCTAACTGGTGAAATTTTTGAAGATTTTTTAATTCATGAAACTGATATATTTTTGACGTACATTATGTGAACGTCATAATGTGTGATGTGTAGGATGTACTGATAGAATCTGGACACAATGATGGAGTAGCTCGCCGATCTCGGCCTGCCTTGGGTAACGCGCGAACTCCTACGACACAAGAGACCGTCTCTAAGCTACAACAGCTGGGGTTGGAAATTTTGCGTCCACCACCCCACTCACAGACCTTGTGTGACAGACAGAAAGATTTCTACTTTTTATAATGTTTCGAAAACTTCTGGCGGGAAAAAAAAAATACCCGAGAGGCAGTACAAAATGCCTTTAAAGAGTTTGTTGACTCCCGTACACTTGACTTCTTCAAGAAGGGCGTTGAGAAAGTACCAGTGCGCTGGCAGAGGTTTTACTTGTGGTAAGACCTCTTGTGAGTCCGCACGGGTAGGTACCACCACTCTGTCTATTTCTACCGTGAAGCAGTAATGCGTTTCGGTTTGAAGGGTGGGGCAGCCGTTGTAACTATACTCATATCTCAAGGTGGGCTGTGAGCTGATCCATCCATATATGCAATAATAATAAAAAAAAACATCGATACCACGGATTTATATTTCGTCAGATATAAATAAACCAATATTAAAAAAGTACATACTAAATAGCAATTTCGTAGGTAAAGACTTTTCAGCGGGTCTAGTATATAGTTAGAGCTGTGAGAGTCTCTATCAGCTAATGAAGTTCTAGATGTTTATTCTAACTAATTAAGATTGGGTTATTATTAAGACCGTTGTAGGTTTACAGTAGTAAAAACTGAGATTCAGAGCTCATATCTCAAAGTTTGTGTTTGGCGTTTACGTTGTCGATGTCTGTGGGCTCCTGTGACTTAACATCGGTTGTGTGTTCCACCTATCTAAGCAATAAAAACCTTTATTTTAGAGATCGTAGGCAGACATTTGTTTTGCCATTCACACTCCGTACTCCTTCACGGTGTAGAAGTTTTATGGTGCAGCTATCTGTACAGGAACACACGATTTTTATTGAGCTTGGATGGGCTATTACTCATATTTACATAATAATATGTTGACAATGTCACGTCTACTACCCACTCGGTTGAAACACGCTGGTGTATAATTTTTCAGGCATCCCCTGTTTCCTCTACTCGCGTTGCTGTTGGAACGATGTGAGCAAGCGACGGCGGGGGTCGAGCCCCCGGCCGCCGACGCCTTCGGGGCGGACCTGCAGGCCTTCGTGCAGCACCAGCGCAGAGACAGGAGGCCCTTCCTCGTCGACGACCCGGAGATTGACGGCCTTATGATTAAGAGCATACAGGTGCATCATTCACGTTCTAAGAATTAGCAAAAAATATAAAATACTAGCCGTACTCGTTTACTTCGCTGGGCATTTAAAATTAACATTATTATTTCTCACCCCCACAAAGATTCTCATCATTAACGCCCCCGCAACTGGTATAGGGAGTCCAACACTCATATAAATATTAGCCTTATACATTAAGTACATTATGTATTTTCTACATGGATACCAAGTTTTAAGTCAATCGGATGCCTGGTTCATAACGGAACATCCGTAAAAACCACTGTAGATTTATATATTAGTATAGATATTATTAAGAAGCGAAAATTATATTCTAAGGTGATATCGGCGGCCATCTATAGGCGCTAGTCTGTAGGTGTCCAATGTACGCTGGAGCCAAACAGAAGTATAGAGGCTGCGTTGTTCAAAGGCCCAACTTGAAGAGCTTCGATCTGCTTTCAGGTTCTGCGCATCCACCTGCTGGAGCTGGAGAAGGTACAAGAGCTGTGTCGCGACTTCTGCGGACGGTACATCGCGTGTCTCAAGACGAAGATGCAGAGCGAGAACCTGCTCAGGACCGACTACGGCTCAGGTACGTATGCACGTGTCCCTGGGCGATTGAGAGACTCACCAGAGAACAGCTCCTCGACTCTAGTACCGGCTCACTGCGAGTCATTACCGCCGATTGCCCATTTCTGCCGGAAAGCAGCAACACGGTTTGAAGATTGGGTCAGCCGTTATATAAAAGAATTGTGACCTCATGTCTCAAGGTGAATGGCGACGTGCACGTTTTAACGTGCTCCAATAACTACTAAGTGTGATGTTAACTGCAGTTAGCTCCGTGTTCACTTCTATCTCCTAACAGTGTCTGAAGTTAAATGCAACCCTCAGTCTTAAAAGTAAAGTATTGTTACTCGTCGGGGCTGGGGATAAATATATAGTATTTTAAAACTCAATTTCATTATCATGACACTTCAATTCACGGCTTAAATTATCACAATTCACTTCTTTCAGTTCTCTTCACTGAACTGTCCATAGTTTCGCTTCGAGTTACTAACAACCTTCACGTCGTCTCTGTAGAGTCCTTATACTCGACACGACATCTCTACGAATTTCCAGAACATTTCCGATAGTACTAGTAGTTTCAATATTTGTTTCTGCTAATTGACGACCGATGGCGCTACTCGTACCGGCATAACATTGTTTTTTTAAAAAAAACACGTGTGGTCCTCGGGGCCTGCCGCGGTAAAGCTATTGCATAGCATTTCTTATCAACTTATGCAATTATAATTACACAATAATAGTTTAATATTAAAACAATAATAAAATAAGACCACGTTATGTTTATAAACATTAACAAAAGCAAAACATTAACTGTCCCCTTCACACTCATAAGCTAGACCGCGAGAGAGAGAGATGGGCAGACTATTCATGATGCGCATGCAGTGGGACGTCACGCCGCGCGCTTATTCACAAACAGTACACAAGTGCAACGTGTGAATGTGTTGAACGCGAGCTACATGGCAGGCGGAGTGGGGGGGTGTTAGGTTTTATTTTCGTTACGGAATTTCTTGATTGGGTCGCCGCGCTCAAAGTCCGCGATAAATCCTATGCAATAGCTTATCGATTTTTAAATTTCGTTTTCCATATCAATTGTGGCCACCAGTGGCTGTTGACCAGAAGATGACAGTGTTCACTACACTTTCCAGGTGGCATGGAGAGCAACAACAACTTGTCGGGGTCCCTGGAGGAGCACTCCAGCACGTCCAACTCTCCCCAGTACCAGGTATGAAATGTATGTTCAGTTTGTGTGCTCATGCTTCCCAGCTTGAGCAGCCATAGACATTATTAAGAGAAACTTTAGCATTCAAATTAAGCGGTGTCTGAGTGAATTACAAAAGGCACCGATAGCCTCGAGCGATGAGGCCGAGGTGACTCGTAATAACGCCCGCAACCTGACCGCGCTGTTGTCCGTGGACCGGCCTCTGGGGGCCACATCAACGGATTTTTCAAAACGTTCTATGTTGTGATATTATTTGGTTGACTGAGGCAAGGCGGCCCTTGAGCCCATCATGAACATCAGCAGATGAACAGCAGATGTCTTCATTTTATGACTTCGACCTCATGTTCCAAGGACATAGTTTTGTGACGCTTTTAAATTTTGATGACCACTTAAAACTAAGTGTCGGACGAGGACGCTCATTCTGCTTAGTTGTGTATGCGTAATGGATTATTGAATAGCTATGTTGTTGTGGCGCAGTCCCCGGGCGCGGTGCCGTACGTGCCCCCCGCGCCGCTCGCGCCCCCCGCGGCCCTCGCCGACCTGCCCTACGCACCCCGTGACCCGCGTGAGTACCCCCGCCGCGCCCCCACCCGCGCACTGGACCCTAACGTTGTGTGCCCCCTTTGAGACAGAGACAGAGAAATATATTGTTCAATGATTTAATTCGAATAATTTAATACAGTTCTGATGTCAGATTTCACTTAAACGAGTTAAAATGATATTTTCCAGTAAATTACAAAATTAAAAAATATTTTTGTTTAATCATTAGTGCACCTCCTCATTCCAGCCCAGTCCCTGATCGTGCAGGGGACGACGCCGCTCGGGCAGATCGGGGCCGCGCTGCTGCCCGCGGACTCCTACACAGGTACCACCATCTGAATATTATATCAACTACCATCTAGTGGCCTCCCCCTACGTCCGTCCGAGGGCCGCCTGTGAACCTGCCGTCGCGTCGCGGTCCCCCCGCCTATGGGTGCAAGTAGCTCACCCTAACAACTTGGGAGGGTGCAGGGACCTCGCGTCCCCGGCTGCCGGGCGGACAAATCGCCGTCCCTGTCATTAACAGCGTCTGAAGTATATTCACTAATGTGTGGGTGTCTCGTTGTAGGAGGCAACTCTAACAACTCGTGCTCGTCGGTGTCGGGGTCGCCGCCCCCCGACGACGACGCGGAGGAGGGCTCCAAGCGTGGAGTGCTGCCCCGCCACGCCACGCAGGCTATGCGGGCCTGGCTCTTTCAGCACCTCGTGGTGAGCACCGCCCCCCCGCGCCCCCACCCAGCAGAACCCACCCTCATTAGTATTCAACGACCAGTCTTCTGTATCCATGCTTGTTCTGCAGCACCCCTACCCCACGGAGGAGGAGAAGCGGTCCCTCGCGGCGCAGACCCGCCTCACGCTCCTGCAGGTCAACAACTGGTTCATCAACGCCAGACGCCGCATCCTGCAGCCCATGCTGGACTGCTCCGNGCCAAGCGGCGAGACCACGCCTCCAGCACGGACCGCCGAGATTGGAGCCTCCGCGCTCGAACTACTCCTTCGCCGGGGCGCCCTTCCCCCCTAGAGCGGAGGTCGCTACGCCACCTGTAATCGGCAGCGAGCGCCTCCGCCTCCAGGTCCCAGGGTGGCGCCCCGGCGAGCAAGCACGCCGCCTCGAAGGAGACGGTGCGGTATCCTCGAATCGGCCTGACCGCGATCGCGCGCTGCGGACGTCGCAGCGCCGCGACGTTTTTGCGGGTCAGGGCGTGGCACCATACGGGAGCACCGTATAGTGCCATCGACCGCACCACCCCCATGTAGAGGCGGCGCGCCACCTGATCGGGACCCCCGACGTTTGGAAGAAGCCGGCTCAGAGACCCGGCCGTCGCCATCAGTCGAGGGCCCAACTTCTCAAAGTGAGCGCGGAAGTTCCACCGACCATATAACACACTCCCTGACAACAATTTTTTTTTTGTTGCTTAGATGTGTGGACGAGCTCACAGCCCACCTGGTTTTAAGTGGTTACTGGAGCCCATAGACATCCACAATGTAAATGTGCCACCCATCTCGAGATATAAGTTCTAAGGTCTCAAGTATAGTTACAACGGCTGCCCTACCCTTCAAACCGAAACGCATTACTGCTTCACGGCAGAAATAGGCAGGGCAGACTTAGATGATTAGTAAAACTTAGGACTAGTTAATGTAAGAACATCCGGAACCACCCATACTGATATAATGTAAAAGACTTTGTTCCTGGCGAAGTTGCTTACTTATCGACGGTCACCGTCTCGAAATTCTTTTTCGTATTTCTCGAAAAGTTACGAATTTTTAAAAAAAATGTGTTTAGTTGATTTGAATTTTGGATCCTACTGCCGCAGGGCTCCTGTCCTCCTCCGAGGATGAGGACCAGGACGCGGACCAGTCCGGGGACGAGCGGCCGGAGGACGGCGACGCGTACTCCGTGCACAGCATGCACTGAGGGGCGCGAGGACCGGGGGGAGACCGGGGGGCCGGCGCCGTCGGTACCGACTGCAGATTGTAACCTCAGTATTAAATTATAACCTGCAGTTCTGTACTCGTGTGGAAATATCGTTGAAGTCTGCCTGATGCGGCGCTGCCCCCGGGCGACTGGCGCTTCCAGCCGTGGGAAGAAAACATTTCTAATTTGTGATAACTCGTTGCTGTTTATAATTATATTTGTAATTTTACAAGACAAGTCGGCCAGGAGCTCGTGCGCTATGCAGCTTAGAGTTCAGCGATAGTTCCACCCGCGGGCGGCGACACGCGGCCGTGCGTGCGTGCGTGCATGAGTGCGTGCGTACGTGCGTACGTGCGTACGTGCGTACGTGCGTGCGTGCGTGCGTGAGTGCGTGAGTGCGTGCGTGCGTGCGTGCATGTAAGGTACGTGCGTGCTTGCGAAATGCTTGCGTGCATGCGGGCGTGCGTGCGTGCGGGCTCGCCGGACAATTGTCACAATGTTCTTATTAATTAATAAAATAAAAGACATTAAATAACTGATCAGTATACCGTAGTTAGTTCTAGTGTTAGTGAGTGCGGAGTCGCGCCGACACTGGCAGTGACAGTGGCAGTGCCGGCCGCGGCTCCGTGCGGCCACCGCGTATACGTAAACGATACCTCGATGTATGATGTAATATTTTAAAACTAAAAGTAAATTATTTAAAGGGAGACTCGCTTCTTTCTGTAACAAAATGAAATGTGTAAATGTATGTAAAGTTTTCTGTATACGACTCTCTCCCGGCGTCGCCCGCTGCGGCCACTGGGCCACACCGTGCGGCGCCGGACCATCTTCGTTTTTGTCAATTTGCGCTCTGGTTGTGATTACAATAGTCAGTTGTGTTTCCGTGGCCGCGGGCTCGCGCCGCGCGTGTGTCCATGATGTCCGCGGGCTATAGGCGCCGCGTGCGACCGGCCCAGAGCGCGACTGTCCGACGAACCGAAGTAGCAATGTAGGGCGCGCTGGCGGAACTACCGTAGCTCTACACTGCGCGCTCGCAAATAAATAATAAAATACAAGAATGAGTGGGCGCTCTGTCGGTGCCGGCCGCCGCGGGTCCACTGCATCCTTAAAGATAGTCATTCAAACATACTTCATTTTATTGACCTCATCGTTGTCATGACAGTCGCGTTTTAACCGGCCGCGAGGCCGGCATCATCCGCTAGTTGCTTATCTGATGTATCCTGTCGGTCCAGTGACATCCGCCGTGCTCCGCGCCGTGAGGTCCGTCCGCCGACCTGATACCGTTTCACATAGAATAAAAACACAACGCTTGTGCAGAACTGGTTCGGCACACGTCCACCGGACCGGCGGCCCAACGCAACGAAATAGGTTTACGAAAGTACTAAAGCAACATTAACATTCTGATGCGGGCGCGGCACTCCCAATGCAACAGGTTGTCATGGTGTGCCAGGGGGCCACCAGGGGGACTGCCAGACTGCCAACACTCCCACAGCGCGGCCACCCCGGGTGTCAGCTCTTGAACCCGGGACAGTTTGTAGCGAGTGTGGTCCGCGTGCGTCTGTTAATGTTGCCTCCGCTCCAACGGGAATGTCTATGGTGGAATCAAACACGAAACGGTTCCCCATAGATGTCGCAAATATTTTTTTTAACTACCACAGATAAAACAATACCGTCCATAGACAAGAATCAAGTATTTATTTAACGTGTACAGTGTAGGTTTTTAATATACTCAAATTGTGTATATTTTTTTCTAGCAGCCATATTAGTTATTAGTTTTGTTATACGAATGATTTAATTGAATGTTAATAATGAAGGGGTTCATAGAGTTGCCCAGCTCACGCGAATAGGACGGTGGCTATTTATTGACACTGTCAATATTAGGGATGTCTTGCTTGACTGTCATAAGCTATAATATCTGTTCATCATTAACATTAATTAAGTAAACTTGTTTTGTAATAATATTTCATGTGGTGCAGCCGAGCTCACGGCGTGTCTGTGCGTCCCCACTCAACCATACAACTTTATTGAATCATTGTCAGCTTTGATTGTTCATTGGCTAATGTTGTTAAACAGAGTACTACAAGGCGATATTATGAATAACACCTAATTACAAAATATTTACCCGTTCTGTTGATTGTCCGAAGTTACCTACCAGAGTTTAGAGGGACCCCCCCGCCCCCCGGCAGGGGACACGCCGCGGGCCCCGCCCCCCGCCTCCGCACACACAGACAACTCTGTTCAAATGTTTGTATACGGAAATTAATAGTATTATCAGAATGTATACGTTTCGTTAATCTACAATTGACATTTTTATTGTAGCGGTGTGACTTGAATTGAAAATCATCGAGTATAAATGAAAATTAATCATTAAAATCGAGTCTAAATTTGGTAGAAAATTGCTTATTCAATATAAGTGACCGCGTCGTGTCTTCTGAGGCGTCCGGCACGCCACAAGTGCACAGACCTGATGTAATGCCAACTGTCAACGTGATAGTTTTGACAGATGTCACTGTCACAAATTTTTTTTCAATTTTTGTGGCAGAGCCTTTGTGTATTGAATTATTGCAACGGCAATAGATGAGTGACTAGTTGTGATTTTCGATTCAAGTGACATCGTCGGCGATGGTAAGATTGAAATTGAAACAAAGTGATCTTATCTGCCGCGTCGATCATAAAATAATGGAATATTTTATATATATACGTATTTTCTTTTGAAAATAAAAGTAGTACAATATTTTTTATCGTGTTAACTTCGGAGGACAAAGGTTTGAGCTGAAATACATATTGAGTGAAGCGGGCTGTTGTCCAGCGACCACACCACAGGTGGAGTCATCTGCCGCCGGGGGCCGTAGGCGCTAACCGGCCCCGACTCGCGGACCTTCGAGCCACGCGCCGCCACGACAGCTGCAGTCTCGTGTTACTCTAATTGTGACAATGAACACTTACGTTCGTTCGGACAGAACTCCGATGCCCTGGACCTTGTTGTTGTCCATTGTCACAAAAGTTCAAGTTCGAAACTAATCATTTTATGTCGCTCACTCAAACTTACGATCTCAGTGTTGAAATTACTGTCAATTTGAAAGAAAGCTCTGGGTGCTTTACGAGTAAGCTACTTGTTGTAACGCGGTGACGTAAACTTTATTTCAAGCAGACGGCCTCATAAGCCTCACGCGTGCGGGATGAAACTACCCGCCGACGACGGATATACAATAAATACGTACTGTATTTATAAGATATGTGATATTAGCAGTTTAGTGGTACCTAAAGAAACACACAGCGCAAGTAAAACTTTGATTGAGACTTGTAACGCGAGCGAGAGGCAGCTGACACTGACACTGACATGTCCACAAAACGATTTTGAAATTAATTTCAAAACTGAGATTTTTCATTAAAAAAAAAGAAGTCCTCAAACTATTGTATGAATTGATCTGTGAATTAAATATACGATTTAAAATAAAACGATATACGTAAAATGAAATGTGGTGAGAAAATAAACACTTTTTTTATATATATTATAAATAAGTATTAAAAACATATATAAATATACTTTGTAATTTAAAATTTAGTAGTATTTTAAATAAGTTATTCAAAACTGAATCGTTCGGAGCTGCGACCACATCCCGAGAGCTTCGAGAAGGTTCTGTAAAGTTAAGAGGTAACGTCAGGAACAATTAACTAGTACTCCGCCGAGTGGCACCATCATTATTAGCCTCATCTCAGTCTCATATCAGTGGTTCCCAAACTTATTTTGTCTACTGCCCACTTTGAGCATAAATTATTTTTTAGCGCCCCCATTTTTTCTACCTACTTAAAAACCTATAGCGAGAGCTCAGTCGGTGTCTAAAAGTCCTCCTAGATGAAATTAGAAATCGCTGAGCCTCCCGAGCCTCTACACAACGCCCCCATTTTTTTCTGGGTCTATTACCGCACCCCGCTAGGCCTGCAGCGCCCACAAGGGGGCGTTATCGCCCACTTTGGGAAAGGCTGATCTATATTTATTATGTGAAATAGGAAAAATACTTCACTTTTAGTCAAACTTCGTATTGACCACATATACAAAGTTGTCATTGCGATGTAATTAAACACGATCATGCAGCTGCGTTGTAGTTCGCTGCTGCCCCGGGGCGACTCCCACTGCACTAGTCAACACACAAAACGGCGCCGACCCGAACGATTCAGAGAACAATGGATTGCCAACCTTCGCGTAGTTGTTCACTTATGTTGTGCTTCGGTTTCACTTCTCATTTACGAGCTGTTGTTGGAAGACGGATTTTTTACTATTACTTATTACTACTTAACCCTTTAGTGCTGAGCTTATTTACACATATATTGCAGAAATTGCAAAAGAATTTTTGAAAAAAAGTAGTACACAAAAGTTTTTTATAATTAAAAACAAAAATCAATGCTAAATTCACAGCAAAACAATTTTAGTTATTTATAAATGTTATTAACATAATAAGAACATTATACGTGCGTGCGTTAATACACGTCCGTACACGTCGATACGTAATACCTGTAAAAAAACTGCGCAATAGTCGGTATTCCGACGCTAGGCATTTTATACGCATTGCTCGTCGATGTATCGACGGCTCGCGCTCTAAGGGTTAATGTGACGGTTGTCGCGCTCGGGGATGACCGTGTCTGTCAGTTTTGTGCTTTAGTGGGTCAGCTCATCCCTTGTTGTTTGTTATTAATTGTTCGGCTTCCGACACGCAACCCCTTGCTCAAATCTAACAATTGTTACAGTTTGTTTCCTACCGAGATAAAGACACAATGTAAAGCCATGTAAGATTACTTGTTTTTCTTTAAAAAATCCGTCATTTCTAAGAATAATAAGTATAGTCAATAAAAAAAATGTCCATTTCATAGTATACTATAATATTAAAACCGTGCTTGTTTAGTTCGTAAGGAATTTCAAGATTATACATAAATGAAACGGCATAATTTTTGCTAGTCAAAATAAAAATAATTTTTAGGCTCCGGAAGTTGTTTGATTTATTCGGATCCCGCTCGTCCGGGGACGCCAGCGCAGCGAAGGGCGCTCCTGCCATTTTTTCTTTTTCCTATCAAAGCTGATGGTCTAAACTCTAGAGAGATCATATCAGTGTAATCTTAACTAGTAGGTGAGCTCACGGGTCTCAAACCTGACGTTGTTGCTAACACGAACCCTAGCAGGAGCCGTGCTTCGCAGAATCTACCACCGGATCGGAAACGCGACCCACTGGAAAGATCTCAGTGGGTCGGGCTCGACTTATCGTCTTTCTAGCACCAAATCAAACAACAGATATCGTAATATCAGTATTTATTTGTTTAAGTATGTATTGTAACATTTATTACAAAATATAAGTGTCTTCTTAAAAGTACTATTTACAAAAATCGTTCCTCTAAACATTAGTTCCCTATAGCTACAGTTTATGGTCACCCTGCCTCTAACACTAGTGGAATGTATATATTAACTACATAAGAGTTTTTATCCGTAAAATATATTTAATAAAACGCGAAAAAAATACCAGAGTTTATATATTTTTTTCAATCAAATGTAGAGTTCATATTCACTTGATTGAAAAAAAGACATGCGTCATTCTGATGGCATTTAATTTTCGCGTTATATTAACTTTCTAGTCTTCAATTTAAAGCTTTATATGAGCTAATTATTCATTTAATGATATCATATTTAGATTCAAAGCTTAGGAATTATTCTGGATAGTTTTGAAAACCTTGAAAACATTTATCTTCACACAAAAGTGTATCTAGATCTCATTCGGAATCTGTACCTAAAGTTCAGAGCCGGTGACGAATTACTTGAGTTTCCATTTTGAATCTAAATAAAATATCTTGCTTACATTCCAATAAGTGTTACGTTATATTTCGCAATTCAATTTAGCATTTTGCTTATTAATCACAATCCGTTTCACTGATGGCTGTGTCACCACAGCTCAAGGAGCTCTCCGTGTACTTAAAAGTTTCGCGTTCCACTTACGTTGGATATCATAGCAAAATATTCATAATACTCATTGAAATGTTACATTAACTAAATTCTTATAACACACATGCATCTGCGAAGTCAAAAGGTCGTATGTACGAGTCGTGTCAAGCAAAAATAAACGTTTCACTGTCAGTTGGCTATATTACCGACCACTTTAGACCCGTCGAACATTAGCTCCTTCTGTTTTGAAAATAAAGTATTAATAATATAGGGACCCTCGTGGACATTGGTAATGACAGGGGACATCGAGACTCCTGTTTACCGCTAACCACTTCTTACGAACTTCGTCCGAAGTAGGACGTCAATCGATGTGAAAACACTGAAATGTTCATTCCGTGGTTTTTTTTATTTTTTTTTGTTGCTTAGATGGGTGGGCGAGCTCACAGCCCACCTGGTGTTAAGTGGTTACTGGAGCCCATAGACATCTGCAACGTAAATGCGCCACCCACCTTGAGATATAAGTTCCAAGGTCTCAGTATAGTTACAACGGCTGCCCTACCCTTCAGACCGAAACGCATTACTGCTTCACGGCAGAAATAGGTAAGGCGGTGGTACCTACCCGCGCGGACTCACAAGAGGTCCTACCACCAGTAAAATGGTTCCAGGTTTGATGGTACTTGGCAAAAATAACACCTGATATAAAATTATAAACGCAGTTTTGACAGTTTTCTTCCTAACAAAATCCACAGAGCCCTCTGTGTCTTCCGTTCCACGAGCTAATATTTCTTCAGAAATGTTACGTTACGTTATTAAGTGAATAATCGCACTAGAACAAGTTCTAAATAGTGATCACGACATTCAAAATGAAAGCTTCCTGGGCCATGACACGGTCCTTAGAGGTCAAGTTATACTTAACAAAATTTGATAATCAAACATACGACCAAATACTTCTGAGATACATTTCTTTGTGTTCCCTCCGAGTCGACTCCTCGCCCGTTATATTACTTGAGCATCGGCCCCGTTGAAGCGAAGTGTTCGTCTGTATGTCAAGGAATCATCCCGTGTTGTTTCTTATAAAAAGCGTTATGCATAAACATCGGTATATTAGACAAGTTTTGGGAGTGTGGCCACTTTACGTATTCACCCAACAAATTCGGGAGAACAATTTTATGCGCAATTCTTTAGACAAAATACCTTGTTCTACCATAATTTTATCACCGTGAAATTCTACCTACCCACACATTCGTAACCTGCTTTATATCTGCGAGTTTCTACAATCATTACTTCTACAGTACGGGTGCTTATTGCGGTGCGGGGTAGTTTTTTTGCGAATTGGACCCTGTGTTTTTTTTAAATTCAGTTTCACCCTCTTCTTTACTAATGAATATTACTGTTAATACATTTCATAATCTACAAGGAAAGTGTAATAATATTTTTAATATTAACATTGCTTCAACGAGACCTCGTTTCAATTCTTATAATATTAAAATTAAAATATCACAATAACAATATTTATATAAAGTCAAGGCGTCGCAGTACACGGGCGTGGCAAGATACTCAAAATAATGGCTGGCTTTGCCCAATGACAGCGTTACTACAAATTATTCAGTAAAACTGTCGAACAGAGTATGCTGTGCTGTGAGAATGATATCTGCTTATTTCATTAAAAACATTTTACTTACAGATTAGATCCTTCCATTTTATTACTTCCAAATAATTATCCCTGAATAACCGCGAAGGAAATTGTAGTCGGCTTAATATAAGACGCATTTAACGTTTGATTTTGACCATATAGTCTGTGAGCTAGCAACCATTCCATGACATCAATAAAGAGTTTTAAGTATATTTAGATTGCCAATTGTAACCTGATGCGTGAATTGAAATAATATTAATAATAAGTACCCTGGGCGATAGGCTTCGTGTAAAATTTGACAGCCGTTAATATCCGATGAGATTTTCATAGCCATTTTTATGTAAAACAGTTATACTATTTCACATCCCGACAAGGTAATCTCATAGATTGTTTCTTTCCCTAATTATATGTAACATCTCTCTCGCACATTGCTCGTATGTACATAATATATTAAGGCTTTTATATAGACACGTGTAGGACGATTATACCGATCTCATTGTATGGAGGAATGTTGGTGTATTTATAATATTATTTTTGTGTAATCATTGGCAACTATTTATAGCATTACTGAGCGGTAACTATTACACCATTGACTTCAAAGCGTCGATATCAAGTTCAGAGTTGAGTTGGAAGCCCTGTATATTGAAAATACCTACAGTAGAAATTGTGACATTTAGTAGGTACATGAGTGTTGTATCTCTGACGCGATTCTCAGAACAGGATAAAATTTATGCCCAAAGAGGTTTTTGCCAGTCGCTGTGGTTTTCCGGTGCGGTCCAAACATACGTCTGCAGATTATCCATGATCAACCAACATTCACTCTCACAAAAATAAAAAAATAAAACCGGTAACTGAAAATACTGCCAACATCACACACAGTACAATTACAAATATCTAACTATTAATTTTACTATTTTCAGACATTATAAACGCGTTGTTGGAGTTCAACAAACTTTCCCTCTCGATTTCACTGAATGTTGCTTTCACGAAATCACTTCGTTTCTTTCTCAAGTTCTCGAAGCTTCTGCTGACCTGGGTGCCGACATACACGAGCTCGTTACAGCTGGTCGTCTTGTTCAAAGGTCGATACGACGTCGGCAACAATATCGAACTACTCAGGATGATCATGGAGCCCCTCCGGAAGGTGTCGCGGCTCACGTCTATGATTTCTAATGAGTTTTGTCCCAACACGAAGCGCTTGTACGCGCGTATGAAGATCACAGCTAACGTCAAGAGGCCTCCCGCGATCATGGAGTATGTCAGTGCCGGTCCGGCTACCGGTCCGACCGTCGTGGCTAGATATATCCAACGCCATATTGGCGTCGTCACCTCCGGTATACCCTGGAAACGGAACGAGGTTTAAGGATGTGGTGGGTAGCTATCATACGGCACACGATATTTGACATATGCCTGATGCTTACGTCATTTTCAAGATATATACAAGTTCCGAACAACAACATTCGGGCCGTCGATCTACCGAACAATATCAACCGCTCGGTGGAAGATTTTTTTTTTTGTTGTTAAACCTCCCAAAATAGATAATTAGTAATCAGCTGCCCCGTGCAGTGGACTAGTGTGTGAGGATGGTCCTGACTGTCACAGCGATAGCGTGGCCGCCCGTTTGGAGACATATGGTGGAAGTCATGGAGCTCATGCAACTTTCAAGGAGAGTGTCCTGCCCTTTAGGTGTTATTAGTTTCGTGGACGGATCCTGTGACGTTAGGAAGGTGTCACGACCGTGAAGATACATCGGAACACACGGATTAGGTTTGCAGGAAAAATAGTGAGGACAGTGGAATAATCCAGAAGTAGACACCTTCAACTAAATGTTCAGTGTACTCACTTCCTCGAGCCACATGACGGGGAAGATCATGTCAGGGAACTTGTCAATGTTGTTGACAGTGATCCCCGGAGCGCGGTCTATCTTCATGTTCAACTGGACCCGCACGAAACCCTCCAGGGGCACACCGATTCTCTGAAATGAGAGAGAAATTGACTTAAGACATTTAGATTAACAGGACGGTGTCATCGATTTTCCTTTTTTTTTCTACCTAAGCTGATAGCCTTGAGAGGCTATTTCAGCGTAACCTTAACTAGTAGGTGAGCTCACGGGGCTCAAACCTGATGACGTTGCTAACACGAACCCTACCAAGAGCCGTGCTTCGCAAAATCTACCACCGGATCGGAAACGCGACCCACTGAGAAGGTCCGGCGAGAAACTTAGGGGCTGTGTCTGTGGGTTAATTTACTCGTCGAGCCCTTTCCGAGCCCAGGTTCGACGAAAACGATGACTGGCGATTTTCCTAAAAATTGTAAAACTAATTATACAATTAAAGTGGTTGAATATTTCATGACATTGAATAAATATATCAATATCCAGCGCTTGTCCTAACCTGTCAGCCAAAATTCCGTGGTCGAAACATGTTCATTATAAAGTTTGATGACATGCTTACCAATGTCCCTGGATTGCCAGTGAGATATCGTATATGTAAGTAATTAAAGTCCCTTACCGGTTGGATCATGAAATATGTTTCGTGCTTCTGCTTATCAGGCTTTAGACCTTCGAACGGCTCCAGGAGTGAGGGGTCGGCATCGTAGAAATGAGGATACGACAGGTAGACTGGAGCATCTGATGGAAAAAAATGTGTCGCAATAAAACGTGACCCCAATTTGAACAGCCACATTTTGTAACATCGAACGATCAACCCTTCTCGAACCCTGTTTATAAGGATGCCGCTTACCTAATAATGCAGCATGGATCTCAGAAGGTCTTGGAGCTATAAAGGGTGTCCACCCATATACCGGACCGTTCTTGACTAGGTACCGATTGGATGATGCGGGTGAGACGGGGGTCTTCTTATCGAGATTTGTTCGAGCTCGTCTTTTTCAAAAAGCATTGTTGCCATTGTTTTGGTGGATTACAAATATTAATTAAGTATGCGATAATGGATTTGAAGTTGGCACGGCCTAAAGTATAAGATTCCCGGTGTGTTCGTATCGAGCAATGTGACTGTACCAGGGTTCGAATCCCGCAGCTATTGATTTTTCTGATTGAAATGTAATACTTAACACAATATGTTCACGACTAACATCCACAATGAAGGAATAAGGTCGCGTAATAAGAATCAAATCCACAAACACAGTTTGTGAGCTTGCATGGTTTTTCTTATATTTATTGCATCGATCTCGCATTCCACCTGCTATTAAATTGTTACCGGATCCAGAGTCAACAACAACATTTGTCCTAAGGTCTCAATATAGTTACAACGGCTGCCCTGCCCTTCAAACCTAAACGCATTACTGTTTCACGGTGAAATAGACAGGGCGGTGGTACCTACCAGTGCGAACTCACAAGAGGTCCTACCACTAGTATTTACGCAAACCATAATTATGCGGGTTTGATTTTTATTACACGATGTTATTCCTTCACCGTGGAAGTCAATCGTGAACATTTGTGTACGTACGTATTTCATTAAACACCGTTGCATCGCTAGATACGAATGCACCGGACGTCTTATCCTTTAGACCACGACGACTTCATTAGCTCTTTATCTGTCTATGTAATAAATAAATAAAAAAACCGCTAGAACATGTGCAGGAATGTCGTGTATCTGCCTCGGACTCAATTTGAGCCATTTAACAGGTACCTGTTAAATGATTAACTAAATAGCTGGTGTGACCTTCAGACCGCGAGGTCGCGACTTAGAAACTTCACATCAGCAGCGTCGTGTGTGCGGCGGTCGCCGGCGCGCATGTCTATGTGTTCGCCGAGTCTGTCTGCTTGTTAGTTACAATTAAAAATAGCAGAACTCACCCCAACAACCACAGGGTGACGACTACGTCAAATTTAGGAAAGTGTTCTATCGTTATACGATCGTGATATGGTCTTCAAACGAAATAACAGGCTACGTGTTGTCTAAAATCCCAGGGTATGTTTGCGAAGTTCGAGGCCCATGAGATGTATAGGGGTCAACGATATTGGGTTTCATTGCAGCGTCGGGCAAAGCCTCCAAAAATACAATTTTAGCCCTCCATTTACCTTAATGTCGTAAAGGCTTCTGAGGCGACGTTACTGACCAGCCTGGCAGCGGATAAAAATGTCTGGAAGCTTATCAATGCGACGGGTTACCATCGCTCACACTAAGTCTTCACACATCGACGAATCTGGTAAGTGGACCACGTACGCCTACGTTCTCGTAAGTAGTGCTAGCGATCAGTGAAAGATAAACTTCAAATGGCAAAGAGAGCTCTAAGTCTCTTGAGACTAACCCATAGACCCAGCCCACCGAGTTTTTCGCCAGATCTTTTCAGTGGGTCGCGATTCCGATCCGGTAGTAGATTCAGCAAAGCACTGCTCTTGCTAGGGCTATTTTTAGCAAATTTTCTCAAGAAGTGAGCTCACTTATCCGTCCGCACGAAGCTGGTATAGCCCCTTAGTCTACCAGCGAAGAGGTAGGGAAGAAAAAGGTAACAAGAGACAGGGTCGAGGGATACTCACTGTACTGACACGGACTGATGTTCTGTAAGCCTCGCGGTGGACAGTCCCCGCCGTCGCAGTAGCACTTGTTGTCCGGGTTCACAGCGGCACACTCGAACGTCGAGCTGGGCGGCGTGTACAGCCCCGTCTGGATGCCTGCTCGCAAAATTAATAATGAACCACTCAGGTCACATCACGAACATCCATGATCTACTTTGATCTTGTTAAAGTTCCAATGATCCCAAAGTAAACTCTTGTCTTCTATAAGACGAGAACGGCACCTGGGCTTGGAATACCAAATATATTTAACAAAGCTACTGATTGTCTCCCGTGCTCAAGAACTCAGGGTGTTACCTATTAGTCTGATGATGACAGCATTGCGAGCGTCGTCCTGTCAGCTGCCACTGACCCATAGGACCTCGTTGGACTGCAAATCTTAGCGACAACCCAGGGCGAGTCAATGAACTCTTCAGTGAACTTTTTTTATGAACTCTTTACGACCCACTCCATATCTTTAGTGCTGATTGTAGACCACGTAGTGAGCACATGTGTTATATATGTATAGTACAGTCCTTACGTGACAACGGTAGTGGAAGTTTATACTAACCATCTTTGTATACATCCTTTCTGTATTTCAAGGGCATTATCCTGCAGAGATCCTTGTCGTAAACGTTGACTAGGTCCTCCTTAGTGACGTAGCGAGGAGGAAAGAAGGAACCCTCCGATGCACTAGAAATAATCCAAAAATGAATTGGGGTCATGAGACGGTATGAAGAAGAGGTGGTGAGGAAATACTTTTCTTGGAACGAAGTTTCAATATCGGTTATTCAATTCAAATAATGCTAAATGTTTAGTTACAAACAACCCAATGCCTTTAGTTTTCATAATTAAAATGTTTATTAGTACTTTGTAAATACATTAATATATTCATTAGTATTTAAGTGTATAAGGAAAGACTAAGGATATTACCAAGTCATTACGAAGCGCAAGTACAAATAATCTCCTTCGCAAACAAAAAGCTCTTAGCAAAACACATAAAGGGCTTTATGATGAAAGGGAAATTGTTATTGGGTTTTAGAATTTCGAGGGAGCATTTTTGTGAAGCATAATCTATACTTTATATTATAAAGAGGAAAGATTTGTTTGTTTGTTTGTATTGAATAGGCTCCGAAACTACTGAACCGATTTGAAAAATTATTTCACTGTTTGGATTTTCACACTGTTCCCGAGCGAAATAGGCTATATTTTTTTTTTTTAAAAATTAGGGATCCTTACTAAAACTCCAATAACCCAAGGTGTAAAAAAATTACCTAAAATATTCTTTACATAGCGTGCCCTGCGAAAACTATTGATGATAGAATAAAATAGTGTACAACGACTTTGTAGAACACATTATTATTTACACAAAGTGTCGCGACAGTATATGTCTAACTATTATAGTTATGCCGCAATGAGTGTTCTTTTATTTAAAAAAATAAAACAACGTCAAATATCGTTGAAGTTTTTGTTAAAGACCCGAGCGGAGCCGGAGCCGGCCGCTTGTTTATATATTATGTACAAACAATTTTTTTAAAGGTAAATTACGGGGACATTAATCTCATGCAAAATTTTAAATTCCGTGCTCGATGCAACCTTAGAGCACACGAGCCCTGGGGACCAGGAGAATTTACCCACAAACTTGCGAATAATTTATAGAACTACTTCGTATTTTATCAATTTGGTTATTTAATTATTTATAAACGCAGAAGTTACGTATAATAATATGTCGGAGACGGTAATTACTTTGGTAGGTACACGAAACGCAGCACGATTCCCGAGAGATGGCAGCACGATTGCGGTATCGTCGGAACTCGGCTAACTTCGTGCTACGACAGAGCTTAGCCGACGGAGGCGCGTAGACGCGATCACACTTACCAACCGGCTTCTTGAAGAGCGGTGCCTCCGTCCTAAGAAATGTCATTCGTTTTCGTTTGCTAACGTCAAGAGAAGATTTCTAAATTGTTCTAAGACAACAAACGTGATTGGTGTACTCAATATTTCTCTTAGCTCGATCACCCTATTCGCCCCTACGATATCTGACTTGGCTGTATGAGCTATGTATCCTTTGCCTATCCAAGCGAATGAATCGACAAAAAAAATCGTATGCCGATTCCTTCTTTTAAAAAAATATACTGCTAGCGTTCACAGTTCAGTGTAAATTGTAGGTATTGAAATTGAATTATGTGTGTGGTTGAGTTTTTGACTAAAGTAAGTTAAATAAAATGCTAACAAAATCATTTAATATAACAAACACCACAAAACACTAAAATATTGAATATAATTTAAGAGCGCCATATGACATTCTGCGTTCCCGTTAAAAATCACTACGTATGAAGGCACAATTATATTTGCGGTTCGGTTTGCAAAGTACTAAAAATCTGATAATTAAAATTATATTCGACAATGATATTATCTATCAAATAAATAAAACTATATGAAAAAACATGAAACATTATAGTTTTTTTTTTATTGCTTTGACGGGTGGACGAGCTTATAGCCTACCTGGTGTTAAGTGGTTACTGGAGCCCATAGACATCTACAACGTAAATGCGCCACCCACCTTGAGATATAAGTTCTAAGGTCTCAGTATAGTTACAACGCCTGCCCCACCCTTCAAACCGAAACGCATTACTGCTTCACGGCAGAAATAGGCAGGGCGGTGGTACTTACCCGCGCGGACTCACAAGAGGTCCTACCAGCATTAGTGGTACATTTGTCCCATACATATAATGCTATATCAGGATCAAAATGATTGAGTCTTGGGGGTAGTTTGTTATCCAATTTAAAACTATGCAATTAGCTTTCCAGTTTAAGCAAAAAAGCAAAAATAAGTGATATCCCTATTTACCCGGAAATTGGGGTTAATGGGGACGAACTTAGTGTCAATACAGACATTTGCTAGGGCTGGCACTACTTGGTTTTAATTTATTTATTTAGTTGTACCAACAAAGTGATCATCAATAAAAAGCATTCAAAAACTGACAAAAGTACATGGCAGATGTCACTTCAATTATAGGTCAAATCGACAGTGCGTTGACAACAAAAAAAATTATATTACTAAAACTTGATTACCATGACATGGGGTAAATTGGGATTCTGGGGTAAATTGGGACAAACCTGCGGAAGATTCTCAAAGTACTTGTAGCACGGAATCTACCTAATTTTCTTTAAGGTAATATTTATCAATGTATAGAAGAAAAACCAAGTTAACTATGGAAGTACTAAACATGAGTTAAGTTGGTCCCAAAAATTCGTCAAATTAAATTTAAANCAAATTTTTAAAAGTTTCCTGAGTGCACTCATAGATGGGCTCAGCAATACCATATCGTCTGCATAACTAATATTGTTAAAAGAAACTCCATCGATCATGCAGCCGACACCCGCACTACTGAGCTCATCGATGAGCTTATTCATATATATGCTAAATAGCAAAGGTGAGGTTAGACCCCCCTGCCTCACACCACATTCTAAACGGTACACATCAGAGTGCGCACCGACCTTGAGATATAAGTTCTAAGGTCTCAGTATAGTTACAACGGCTGCCCCACCCTTCAAACCGAAACGCATTACTGCTTCACGACAGAAATAGGCAGGGCGGTGGTACCTACCCGCGCGGACTCACAAGAGGTCCTACCAGCATTAGTGGTACATTTGTCCCATACATATAATGCTATATCAGGATCAAAATGATTGAGTCTTGGGGGTAGTTTGTTATCCAATTTAAAACTATGCAATTAGCTTTCCAGTTTAAGCAAAAAAGCAAAAATAAGTGATATCCCTATTTACCCGGAAATTGGGGTTAATGGGGACGAACTTAGTGTCAATACAGACATTTGCTAAGGCTGGCACTACTTGGTTTTAATTTATTTATTTAGTTGCACCAACAAAGTGATCATCAATAAAAAGCATTCAAAAACTGACAAAAGTACATGGCAGATGTCACTTCAATTATAGGTCAAATCGACAGTGCGTTGACAACAAAAAAAAATATATAACTAAAACTTGATTACGTTCGATTAATTATGATTAATTTATATTTAGTTGGGAAATGATCCACGACATTTTTCCTGTAAGTTGTGAGACAATTCGAAAAAAAATCTATTTCATCACTTAAAATTAGTTCGGCGCAATCGGGCAACTCTGAATGAATATTGACGAAGACCGCGCTACCGTGGACATTATTGTAGTCCCAAAGGATTCTGTTTAAGGGAGAGTAAGCACCTAAATTCAAACGAGCGGGCTTTCTTATAAACGGTTTATATTTCTTCGTTCTTGGTAAGTATTTAGGGGCTGATATTTTTATCTGGGTTAAGAGATTAGGTGTGTCGGTTATTCCATGGATTAATCAAGTGGATACCCCCACCCTGAACAAATATTAATATTCTTCGCTTAGACATTTTTGTCCACCTTGAACATTATTCTTGTTACATTAACATAATACTTATCCATTTCAACTAAAGACTTAATCCCAATTTCATAGGCTTCTATTGCTGTTTTTAATATTAAGGGATCATATCTCTTATAAGGCTTTGCACTCTTTGATACGTACACGCGAGGCGTATCTAAAAATAGAAAACAATACGTAACTGATAATACACTGCATTTATAATTTTAAATAAAAGTTCTAGACAAAAACATCACGAACAAACCAGATTCTTACCGACACATTTGAAGAAGATTGTTATAACTACATATACAACCCTACAAACCTGTACCTATTTATACTTAAGTCGTTCCCATTCAACTTATTCTCATACCAATTGACCAATTTTCGTTGTTATTTGTACCTGAGACGTCCCCATTATCCCCAAAATCAACAGATTTTTACATGTATTTCTATATTATCAAAAAACCATAAAACCAATAACAACTGAGACTTACCTTTAATATAATAATATGATGGCTCAAACACTAAATAACTTTTATAAATCACAGTCGTCTTCTATTATTATCAAACAAATAAAAGAGAGCAAAGTTTCTAGCACTAAAATAACTACCACCACAAGAAGTTAATTTGAAAGCGATTTTTTATAAGTTAGCAGCTGTTATCATGTATATTCAGAAATGCTTTGTAAACTTCCAACATTCTACTATTACACTACAAAAAATGGAAGACTTTGCAATGAATATAAAATTAATATTGAACGTCGAAAGATTTTCCTTTTTTCCCCATTCACCTCTCAATCTCTAATCACCCCTTTTTATGGTGTAAAAAATCAGCATTGTCGAAAAGGCAAAAGAATATTTTCATACAATTCGTAAACATGACGTCACCACGACATTTTTAGTTTATAATTATTTACTCCCAAATTAGGTAATATAAAATTAAAATAATTACATATTTAAGCTCAGAATTTAAAAATAAAGAAAGGGTATTTTTATTGTATGCATGTTAATTTCTTTAAATGTTGTCACTGACGTATATAATTGTATAATGTCATGGAAAAGTTGAGATATTTTTAAACAAAGTTTTTGTTTTATTTGTGTATCTCATGTGAATTAAATTAAAGAAAAATAAAAATGAAAAAAAATAAAAAAATTATAACATTGGAACATTGGACCCATCAAACATTGGCGAACAAACATGTCCAACAAACATTGACCCATACCTCAGTCCCACAGGGCGTGGTATGGGCGCTGGGCACTGGCGCTGACCGTGAGCGCTTGTACTGAATATTAAAGCGACCGAGGGTAGCACTTACCGAAGGTTGTTGCACGGCTTGTCCTTCCAGTGGGGGATGTGGTCGAGGCCGTTCACTTTGTCCAAATATCCAAACCTCTCCATGCCCTGGTGTCCTGTGTATATTGTCGACACCTCCTCCAAGGTACCGTTCCTCTGTTTGAATTAGTTCACAAATAAAATATGAGATGGTGGTTGTCTAACAGCAGTACTGGAGGTGGGAGCGCGGAGGGCTGCGGCCCAAGGACCAAGCAGTCTCTAGGGAGGGCCGGGGTAGCAACCCCACTCCTACTGCCCAGGCAATCTATACTAATATTATAAAGCTAAAGAGTTTGTTTGTTTGAACGCGCTAATCTCAGGAACTACTGGTCCGATTTGAAAAATTCTTTCAGTGTTAGATAGCCCATTTATCGAGAAAGGTCAAAGGTATCGTCACGCTAACACCAATACAAGCGGAACACCAATAAAGAATGTTTCAAAATCGGGGTTATTTTTACCTTTTGAGAGCTTCCGCTGCGTGCGCTGCAGTAACGGTTAAAGTTTCGCTAAAATAATGTATGACAGAATTCTTCCCCTTTAAAAGATCAAAAAAAGTCCCCAATAACATATATCTATATGTCAAGGTTGGCTCACTATAACGTTTTTTATGCTAACCAAATTTGTTCTAAAATAAAGCATTATTTATGAACTATTCCACGCGGACGAAGTCGCGGGCAAAAGCTAAGTGTCTTTATGTTCTTATTAATATTCAAAATAAAATTAGTTCCAGTAGGTTCTAGTAGTTTTAAGCAAATTTCAGGGAGAAGTTTGGGCCGATCTAATTTTCTCTACACATATTAAAACGCGTTGTGTTCTTTGACTGCGGGATAGTTTATACTCACAGCCAACAGCAAACCCATTTGGGTGTTCGGTCTCTTTCCCTTCGGATAGAAGTAATGAGCTAATTTGACGAGCGGGTCGTTGTAGCTGAAAACGAAGGCGTAACACATGAGGCACAGCGACTACAATGTATTACAATGGAACTTGTGAACATTTCACTACAGCCAGGACTTTGAGGTGGAACTTGTAAGTGCTTTGTGTCCACGGTTTGCTTACTACTCGATAAAAGAACGCATCATTGCTTAGCGACAAGTGTCAAGCGGGTGGCCCATGCACCTGTGGGGGCCCGCCGCACGCCCCCCTGAGGGCCACGTTGGGTTGTCCGCGCTGTCCAACACAGCTTTATAGAAGGACACACAATCCCTCAAACGCCACGTATAATACACACTATAATATAATACACACTACAACGACATCTATTAGGGAATAGCAGAAATCTCGCATTAACCTGGCCACTTACAAGTTCTCAACAAGTACTTCTAGATCTGGAGTCTACTGTCTCATAAACAAGCGCTTGATTTATATGATTTACAACCGGAAGCACAACAAGAACTGGAATCATGGCACCGCAGCCAGGGTTATTAGTAATTGTCGTTTTAAATAAAATTACGTCTGTGGCGGGTAGCCATCATACAACGCAAGATAATTGACAGATGCCTGAATCTCGCTTACGACATTTTCAAGATAAAGCGCATATATACTAGTTCCGAACAACAGCATTCGGACCGTCGGTCTACCGAACAATATCACCCGCTCGGTGGAAGATCTTCCCTTTGTCGTATATCTACACGTCGATTATATCAAGACTGCGGTGGTCTGTGGCCAAGCATTCAATTCGGATGGTTACCACCATCCAAACTATTTCTGTCACGAAGTAATCAAGTGTTCTTATGTAAAAAGTGGGGCATTTAATGGCATTTATACAAGAGAGTGCTTAACCTCGCGGCTTGAGGCGGCATGCACGTTGTGGGTTCTATTGGCTGTTAGCCTCTTAACAGGAGGCCCGCTGTGCATACAGACAGACACATTTATTACTTTTATTGTAGTTTAGGATAGAGTTAGAACAGGGCTCACCCGAAGACCAGTTCCTCGGCTGTGACGTCCACGAAGGGCTTCGCTCTGTCCTTGTAGGTCAGGGCCAGGCCGGACACGAACAAATTGAACAGCCACGGAGCCATGTTGTGAGAGAACGACGTGACTGTCTGAGGAAGAGGTGCATGTTTGCCTTCTAACGCTGCTAATAGGCCGATTAGCTTGCGACGTATATGGATTGAAGTGGCCTATGAGAGAGATATGAGGTTGAGGTCGCAACGGCTGTCCCATCCAGCTGACTAGGAGGGGTTAAGGTTTCACCGCAGAAATGTATACAATGGTGGTACCTACCTACCAATATGGTACCTTTTTGCATAGGAAGTATTTACTGAAGAAGTACTAAGCGTGTCGGCACCGACGCACATGTAATCGACTCTTGAAGTGTTATTGAATATAGGGCAGATAAAGGCAAACATTATAAATATGTAAGTCCAATTATTTTAATAATACTGCAAGCACGTACTTATATAAGCCTCTTCATACATATTTATTGTCCGTTACATGTTGTGAGAGGTTAATTTTATTATTCTTGAGAAATTCTGCAGAAACATTGGTTTACTTGTTAATATGTTCAATATTAAATTTAACTTATACGTTTTGAACTAATCCTTTTAATCTGTGTTAATGTTTTTACTGGTGGTAGGACCTCTTGTGAGTCCGCACGGGTAGGTACCACCGCCCTGCCTATTTCTGCCGTGAAGCAGTAATGCGTTTCGGTTTGAAAGGTAGGGCAGCCGTTGTAACTATACTGAGATCTTAGAACTTATATCAAAAGGTGGGTGGCTCATTTACGTTGTAAATGTCTATGGGCTCCAGTAACCACTTAACACCAGCTGGGCTGTGAGCTCGTCCACCCACCTAAGCAATAAAAAAATAAAAAAAATTATTATTTAGGTGATGTATTAAATACCCGACATTACGTCAAATTTAAATCACTGCCTTTTATTTAATTTTAGCACTAAGTAGTACAATAGTTATATCAAGTAGACCTTTAACTGAACAAGACAATAGATGGATTGTGATAATTGAATACAATCAAATTATGCTCAAGGGTTTTGTGATAAGATCTATTTTCCACTTGAATGAAGTACTTTTTTTGGGAATCCTTAAATTAAATCAATCCGTGAATAGTAAACACCAAAAATCAGTTGCTGTAGACGATTTAATCGAACCCTGCATACGCTGACCGGTCTTCGTTTGACTTGATGCTAGTCGCTGGACTCAGAGGGTTGATGAAGGGTCTCGTGGACTCACCAGCAGCGGTATATTAGGCACCACCAGTTTTAGCTTCTTGTCGACGCTCATCTCCGGGACGAATCTCAATATTTTGTTGTGCTGGTAGGTGAGCGTGTCGTTGTCGTGGAATTTTATGTTCACCTTCTCCATGTCCTCTCTGTACGCGATAGTTACAATTAGAGATCACATAAATATATATCAAAACATAGAGTGACTACCGTCAAGCTTGCACCTAAGTGTCAGTAGTGCTATAATTCTGTTTCAGTACCATGAGGGCTATGTGACAGAAATAGGGGTACATCCCCGTGTGAACCCTCAACACGGGGAAAGTTATGAAACTAAATATAAATATTTGTGTTTTTTCGCGAGTTCGAATTATTCAAACCTGCCAACCCCCCAAACCCCTCGTATAATCGTGATACATTTCCTTGCTGATTATCAGCGGAGTCGTGCTGTGTACTCGCATCACATGAGGACCAGCACGTGTTACATAAGCACTTGAAGGGTCACGGCGCTGCGCGATCGGGCCCTACCCTTCTTTATTCTTATTTTTAAATTTATTTATTGATGCACAAAACAAATTACGATCATTACAGTACATATTAGCTAAATCGTACAAGTAGTACCTAAAGCTAATGTGGATTGCATTCTAAATACACTCAACAAAACCATAACCAACAAAACCATATTAATGTACATAGCTTTTTTTTTTTATTGCCGTATAGGCAGACGAGCATACCACCTGATGGTGAGTGGTTACCGTCGCTCATGGACGTCAGCAATGCCAGGGGCAGAGCCAAGCCGCTGCCTACCGTTTAATACTCTCCACAAGCCTCGTTTGAAGAAGGACATGTCACGGCTTTGGCTTGGCTTTGGCTATTGAAAACACAATTGAAATTACAAATATCGATAACTAGCCACTGTTAAATAGGATATCCTTCACATATTTCACAAATCCCCTGAGTCTAGGCTCAAAGATATCAATTATTCACGGAAACTGCTCACCGATACACGAACGGTCCAACTTCCACGAGCTTCGGTTTCTCGCCCATCTCGAGGAACGCCTGCGAGTTCGTCACGTTGAAGATGTACACCTTGGTCAGCCTCATCACTCCTGGTTTCTGCCAGTAGCTGTAGCTGATCGAACCGTTCCACAGTTTTAGTTCCTGAAATGTATAGGGGGGTTGATCACGTTCACCTGGTGTCGTGGATACGCTGAGCTCCTTGAGACCTAAGATTGAAATCCATACNTTCTCGCCCGTCTCGAGGAACGCCTGCGAGTTCGTCACGTTGAAGATGTACACCTTGGTCAGCCTCATCACTCCTGGTTTCTGCCAGTAGCTGTAGCTGATCGAACCGTTCCACAGTTTTAGTTCCTGAAATGTATAGGGGGGTTGATCACGTTCACCTGGTGTCGTGGATACGCTGAGCTCCTTGAGACCTAAGATTGAAATCCATACGCATGGTACCCATGTCTGTTTCGCAAAGGTACGCTGGTTTAATACTCAGAGAACACTGCTGCCCATTCTCTAATGAATCCCTTAGTTCGCTCTTGCGACAACCGCGGAACAGGTTAGATTTTGGTTTACCATACAATCAAATCTACTCACCCTAAATATAATATAGTCCAGCCATGGAACGAACGATAAGATAACTCCGAGCACCACTGTGCATATACTGAACATTATAACCGCCAGGCGACCTGCAACAAATAAACGTACACTTGTTGTATTGTTGTATGTTGGGGATGTTAGGGAGGCGCGGTAGGCGAGCACTACGTGTGAGTGGGAGTGCGAGTGCGAGTGGGAGTGCAAGTGCAAGTGCGAGTGCGAGTGTGAGTGGGAGTGTGAGTGCGAGTGCGAGTGCGAGTGTGAGTGCGAGTGAGAGTGTGAGTGCGAGTGGGAGTGCGAGTGCAAGTGCGAGTGCGAGTGCGAGTGCGAGTGCGATAAACAAAATATTTGTCAGAGGGAGATGAATGTTAGATGAGAGTTGTGTGGCTGCCCATGCTCGCCCGCTGAGCTACCTAGCTACTCATTGTACTTGGTAAAAGCAATTATACGACCGTCGCGTTATTGAGTAGCGACAATTTCGACAAATAGATAAAATTCGACAAACGCCTGAGTGAAATGAAATGCGAGTGATAACAAAGTATCTAAATAACAGCGTCCGTACAGTTCTGCACATACATTGTTGGCTCACAAATTAAAGAAAGTGTTCTCCGCTTCAAGCGAATCAATGATGCATTGTGTTAGTTCTAATAGAGAAGCCAGTCAAATCTACCCAGACCCTGGCGTACTAACTAAATAAGAAACAGGAAATACTCCGTCCTATTTAAGAAGAGGAAAACGTGAGGTACCGCCACTCGGAACGTGTAACTGCATTCAATTAAACATCGCAACTAGACATTACGGTATAATGCGGTATAATGGTGCGCGACGAGGGCAAAGGTCATGTGACCAATCGTTTAGTTTAATTTGCCTCATTTATGTAAGTAACAAGCACTTGTAGCGAACTCACAATACTCAACGTTTATAGCGCTAAAGCGTCCGCACGTTGAAACTACCTTAGAACTAATAGCGCTGCGGGAATGAATCGTGCGTATCTACGTCTGATTGAAATTTTTTATTTTTTTTATTTCTTAGATGGGTGGACGAGCTCACAGCCCACCTGGTGTTAAGTGTTTACTGGAGCCCACAGACATCCACACAACTTAAATGCACCACCCACCTTCAAATATAAGTTCTAAAGGTCTCAAGTATAGTTACGACTGCCCCACCCTTCAAACCGAAACGAATTACTGCTTCACGGCAGAAATAGGCAGGGTGGTGGTACCTACCCGTGCGGACCCACAACAGGTCCTACCATCAGTAATGCAGATTTTATTACAAAACAAATGGAAGATTACTTTTGAGGATGTTAAACTCACTGGTAGACACCATCTACATTCAGATCGAAAGCCAAATTTCCGACAAGGCACTGATGACAAACGCTCAAATCTGAATTTATGATGGAGCACTTTAGGACTTTGAAGGCACTTGGCCATTTTGTTGTTAGCGGCAATGAAAAGGCCAATAGAGTGGAGAAAATTGACCCCAGAAAGCACTCATAGAACTAAGTATTTAAATGAAGGTAGTCGGGGTTTGTTAGTGTGAATATAGTTTCAGTTGTCGTATATAAAACAAATTTCAATAAAAATATTGTGATTATTAATTGAGATACAAACTATCTTATCTCTCAAGTTGGACCACCCTGCACCCAGTGGAAGGAGTTTCATTAAAATAGGTACATTAGTTGAGGGTATCATCCCGGACACACAACGTGAGACTACATTTGTAAAATACACATAAAGATTACAATGAGCACCGCGGATACGCATTTATAGACAACGTATTACCGACACAGACTAAAAACGCGAAATTATATCTCGCAAGTGCAGCCGCTCATGAGGGAAATTATTGTCATCGTATCGGTTGTCTCCCTGGGTCGAGGTGCGTACAGCCTCCTATGCTCCGACGTCCAAACTTGTGCAAGATATAGTCGAGCTCTCTACCCCTGACAGGGACAATCGATTAGGAATACAGCTGTCTCACGAGGGATGACCTCTGTGTTGTCCACGGGCTGCAGTAGCCGCTACATGGGCTGTGAGCACATCAGGAGTTCACCTGGGCTCTTAGAATATATTTCAGGAAGATTTCGTAGTAAAGCACGCAATGCAACACAAACTGCGAGACGACACGCTAGCCACCGGCGCGCGAGTTTAATGTCGTCAGTTAATGTTAAGATGTTCGCTTAGTGTGTGGGGACATTCCTTACCAGCACGCGGAGAGAACGCACGTGTCTTCATTATACAGGAAATAATAAACTAGGGTTCTTCTGTATGCCGCATTACTTTATAATGTTATTACTAGAATATGTTGGTATTTTATGATTGTGTTATTTTCTGTGTAATTAAATCAAAACAACAGAATTATGTGTCAGAGGTGAGAGTCAAGCGACGCGACGTGGAGATACAATTATGTTAATTGTCGTACACAAGGAAAACTTTGAAAAATAATCAGCATTTTAAATAACAACAATAAGTCGTGGTTTATATCTGCAACGATTTGAAGACAAGATGTCATCATGTTTGTCATCAGATTATGTTTTAAGGAAACATGCAGTAAATTAACGTAGTCACGAATACTCATTAGTGACGCTCATAAAAGCTCACGAGTGCTCACGGGTGTTGAGAGTCTACCGGATTTCTTTAGTTAATAAATTTCAATTTGTTTTGACAAAGCTACTGCCTCATACAATCGAAGAGAGGGGGTCAAGAGTCGATTCAAAGATTGGGAAATTGGGCGACGACCATCCCTCGGGTGTAAGTTTCATCTCAAACAGCCAGCTCTGAATAGATCGTAACTACATAACTTTGATAAACTCTAAGTACCGTCTTGTTAGTTTAAATAGTTCACAGACCAAAAGCAAAGCTAATAATCTTTTACATCGTTTTTCAAAATACAGTTTTCAATTCGAATTTCTAGTTACTTATTTCCCCAAAAAATGTTTTGTTTTTTTCGGAACTAAAGATTTTGAATTCTTTTCGTCTTTGCTTGAGTTCCGTGATGTGAATTTTGTCCATATTTATTTGTATATAGTTCCATTATAGTCTCGCCGGATGATACATTTCTGGTTCGTAATTATGAGATTTATCAGATTAATTACCTATTGTAGTACCGGCAGCGAACGACGCGATCGGTTTTTTTTTCATATTTCTGTGAGATCACTGATGCGTGTTTTTTTGTTTTTTGTTTTTATTGCTTAGATGGGTAGACGAGCTCACAGCTCACCTGGTGTTACGTGGTTACTGGAGCCCATAGATATCTACAGCGTAAATACGCCACCCACCTTGAGATATAAGTTCTAAGTTATCAAGTATAGTTACAACGGCTGCCCCACCCTCAAACGGAAACGCATTATTGCTTCACGGCCGAAATAGACCAGATGGTGGTACCTACCCGTGCGGACTCACAAGAGGTCCTACCACCAGGAATTACGCAAATTATAATTTTGCGGGTTTGATTTTTATTACACGATGTTATTCCTTCACCGTGGAAGTCAATCGTGAACATTTGTTAAGTACGTATTTCATTACAAAAATTGGTACCCGCCTGCGGGATTAGAACACCGGTGCATCGCTCAACACGAATGCACCGGACGTCTTATCCTTTAGGAAGCGACGACTTCAACACAAGTGACAAGCGAACATTGCGAGATGGCGGGATCGTCTGAACGAGTCCTCAGAGCGCTCCTGCTGGAAGGTTCGGTAAACGGAGCAGACTCTACTAAGTGTCTCCGCAAGCGCCGGGGTCTTACTAGAGACGGGACTCCGGCTCCGAGGGTAGTAGTAATAGTAGTAGAAGAGTACAAATACACTCATTCGTTTACCACAATAAGTGCGTGTTACGCTTGTAGCGGAATGTTTGTGTTGTCTGCAACCTTCGAGAACCACTCAGCATCAGGTGGAATGTCAGTTAATAGAGGAAGCGACGAAGACCAGGATCGAACCATCCGCCACATCCTTCCGTAATCGACATCGACACAACATCACAAACTTTAATAAACAACATTCATTAATTATCAATGATGATGCTTCAGAACCTTTGTTTGGAGCACAATAGCACAATGAATACGTCTAGGAAAAACCTTTTTAAAAATAAACTGCTGTTCAATACGTTTATAGATTCGTAAAAAATATTCAAAGCTTCATGCCCGAGGTCGAATCATGTGTCAATCAAATTTACTTAAAGATATGTTTGTGGCGCTCACACGCCGCCACCCGCCCCCGGCTTCTCTCACACTCATTTTGTGTCTTTATTGATTCACAACGAAACTCTAAATCAATCTTAAAATATTGTTTGTTAATGGTAGATTTTCAGGTAATCAATAGTAGATTCTGCGAAGCACCACCCTTGTTAGGGCCAGTGTTAGCAACACTCCGGTTTGAGCCCCGTGAGCTCATCCACACGTTAGAGCGAAGCTGAAATAGCTTCTCAAGGCTATCAGAATAGGTAGGTAATTTTTTTTTTACATAAATAACTAATTTTTATTAAATTAATTTATTTTGTTTAATATTTTAATTAATTGATATATTTATTGACTGACTTTTATTATAAACACGCTGCTCTATAAAATAACTATCAACAACTTTGTAAACCGTGTTTTAGCTAATAATGTTTGATTTGATTTGATATAATTTGATTGGCAGCTCGGTGTCGGAGGCACTGTTGGAGCTCTGAGTGTGCAGCAGGAGGCACGCCCCAACCACCTGCTGCTCAGGGACCAACGGACTCCACAGACATCATAACGTGAGTGCCGTCACATATCTTGAGACATGAGGCCAAGGTCTCAAGCGTACGGAGAGGCGGCAGCCCCAACCCGTCGCTCCGGAGTTGTATGTTGTTGTTTCGCGGTACAAATACGCGGGATGGCCTGCTGGTGGTTCAATAAAGGATTTATAAAAAAAAATATATTAGAATAATTTAACGTAAATCAATTCACACAGTAGAACCAATCGTCCAATGCGCTTGAAGGAGGCACAGTTCCCAAGATACTGGCTACGTTACCTCCAGACTACCTTTAGACAGCCAGACTCACTTTCTGTGTAAAGTACCAGCCGGCCTTAGCATCACGTGTAGCCTCCTTCAAGCGTTTGGAGATTTG